CCTATTCCTATGTTCTCCTCCCTCTGTCATGTTGATTTTAAGTGTATATGTCTATATATTATTATTTTTATTATTTATTTTTTTAATATTGTCACTGGTGAACTTGTTGGGAGTTACATTGGTTGTTAAATGGGCTATCTGCTCTACTACGTCGTTGGAGGCTACAACAATCTGTATCAGAGGTTGTATGTGGTAGCTAGTATAGTCCCTGACATTACCCAGATAATTAAATGCCATCACATTCCCTCTTATTCTTTCTGGCATGTGGGATATTGGCTATTAGTGTTGTGCGGTATATTATCACTTTCGTTATCTATTAGTATCAACTGCATTTGTATCGTTGATTTATCACTCCATTAAACTATGAGTGGCATCCTTAAGGTATCTGTATATATAGAGCTTTTAAGGCATATTAGGGGGAGGGTAGAACTTGGGTATTTCAGCCTAAATGCAAGCGATACCTGGCCTTTCATGTGTAGAGCAGTAAAAGATATTTAGTCCTTGGGCAGCCATTTCGTGGTGTTTTGTCTCAGTTCGTGTTGTAGTAGTGCCCTTATCTGGGTTTGGTAGGTCTGCCTATTTACCGTTGGCACAGTAGTCTCATATATAGCCCTTAGTCTGTGATGCCTTGGAATCAGCATGTTGGTGGGTTTCAGTGAGAGTTCTCTTGTTTTCTCGGTCCATGCGGTAGGTGACAGTCTGTCAACAGGTGGTCATGATGCATGAGAGGCATTTTGTATGCCTATAAGAAGATCACTAAATGAATCTCCATAGGCCACTGATATGTAGATGGACCACGGAACAGCAGATGAAAAGGCAGCAGAAGATGAAGTATAATTTTTTTTTTTATTAAAAAGTAATTAAAACAAATGAATAAAATAAATATAAAAATCTAAAATAAAAGAAGCAGAAACAGACGTGTTTCGTCTTTAAAGTCTTTATCAATGTCTCTGCCGATGTAGTAATAACCTGCTGCTTAAGTATCTTCTACATTAAGGTAATCCTCTTCACCTGCTGGTATTTCGATCCGGCGTGTGATGTCACTTCCGACCCGCAAGTTTGACACGTCACTTCGGGTCCACCGAATTGGACGTCATATCCTCCTATACTGCGGACAACTTGCGTGCATATAATATAATTGCCATCTTAATTAAGGGCAAAATGCCCTTTCAATATACAAAAAATATCGGCAAAATATCATCATATATACAAAGAAGTATATTAGATTAAACCATGGAAGTATATTCATATAAACACTATAGCACATAGAAACAAATAAAAGTTATACTGAAAAATACAAAGAATACAAATACATTTATGCAATGTCATATGTAAAAATTATGTTGGTACAACATGAGTATGATTTAAAGGTAAATGATCATTTTTTTCACAGAAATTCACAAAATGTTATCATTATTTACCCAAAACTAAAAATGTCAGACACATGGATGTCTGATGTTATCTGCGTAAAGATAGACAAAAATTATCACAATTTATCACAAGCCATAAAATAACAACGGAAGTTCGAATTTATAAAAAGACTGGACAGGAGTTATCCCAAGTAACTAGCTAGATGGGGGATAGACATAAAAACAAGACAGAGAGAAGGGAAAAAAAAAAAGAAAAGGGAACTGCAAAAAAGGAGGAAAAGGGTTATAAATAATGAATACGTTCAAAATCAGAATTTAAACCCGAAGGTATCAAAGTATCCAAATCAAAAATCCATCTACCCTCTATGTTGCTCAGCTCCTTAAAATAGTTTTCTCCCCTCCAATCTTTTTTCTTATGATAAATGACCATATAGCGGAGTAAAGAAGAATTGCCACTATGGTATTCAGAGAAGTGTGACAAAACACTGTGGTTGGCGTATCTCCTCTGTATGTTGCCCATGTGTTCCTGTATACTAATTTTAAAGGGTCTGGTGGTCATACCCACGTATTGCAGACCACATGGGCACAAGAGGAGATACACCACATTGGAAGAATGACAGGCAAGTACTGATTTGATGTTATATTGTCTACTAGTAGTTTTTGATGTGAAAAATTCCTGTTTATTCTTGGGAAACTTAGTCTTCTTACATGCACCACACATTTTACATGGATAGAAACCTGGTTGTTGAGCAAAATGATTCACATTGGATGAAGGGTTAATATAACTCCTTACTAAGATATTTTGTAAATTCTTTGTGCCTCGATACACTATTTTAGGTTTATCTTTAATTATATCTGTCAGATCTTCATCTGTGGCTAATATGTGCCATGAATATATATATATATGTGTATATATATATATATATATATATATATATATATATATATATATATATATATATATATATATATAAACATAAATATGTTTATTCACGATAGTCATGATTTTATTTGCTTCATTACTATAATTTAAATTAATAGGGGTACTTCTTCCCTATTTTCCATGGCATTCCTGGGTTTATATTCTAAGACTGTATGTCTGGGGATCTGTTTAATTTCCTTAATTTGCTGATCCAAAAAGGAGGTATCATATTTCTTTTCAATAAAGAAGGACTTTAACTTCTCCATTTGGATATCGAATTGGTCCAATTTACTACAATTTTTTAAAACTTGAAGGAATTGTCCCTTTGGTACACTCCGAAGCCAGGGATCATAATGACAACTAGTGGTGTCAATATACCTATTAACGTCCACTGGCTTGAAGTGGGTCCTAGTTTGTAGAGTATATTGCTCCATGTAAATATCAAGTGCCAGAAACTGAACAGTAGCTTGACTAATTTGACTTGTTAGAACAATCTCTCTATCATTGGTGTTTAAAAATTCCAAAAACGAATTAAGGGAGACCAAATCACCCCTCCAAATAAAGAAAATGTTGTCGATATACCTGCGAAGTGGCACCTGACTACGGCGTTTTGAACACGCTGAAACGCGCGTTGAGCGTTTTCTTTTTCTTTAATCTCTGCACTTAGTAGCACTTTTTTATTTTTGTTACCACTATGGTTATTGATTTTTAGGTGTTTATTTATTTATAACTTTAGTAGGGAGAGTTGGTTTAGGTAGACACTAGTGGTTAGACCACGGTGTCATGGTAACTTTTAGGGTGAATTGAGAGATTTATTTAATTATTTATTTTTTGTGTGAGACTTTTCATCTGCGTTTAGACCTGATTACCCGGCCTCTTGTTCTCTGGGGACCCTGTGCCTCTTCTCTCTCCCTAACCTTGTTTACACTACCTTCCTGTCTGCCGGACACTAGGGGAACTGGAACATAGATGCTAGCTAGTACTCCAGACAATTGATCCCGTGGGCACCGTTTAGTAGATCTCCCTTTTTTTCAAGTTATACTTTTTATTTGCATATCCCTTTTTATCCTTAGATTGATTAAAGGTAGGGCCTCCCTTCCTCATTTCTTATACAGTGGAGCTTTCCTGATGTTGGTTTCCCCTTGTGGGACTCTACACATCACCTACTCCTATTACCTACATATTTTGGAGTGTTACCCCCTCATTGGAGCTCCCTATTAGGTGGTTACAGTAGGGCAGCTCATGAGCCCTTGACTTGTATCCGGACTTCTGACCTGCACTCTGTTTACTTTATTTCTCCATTTTGTGTTTCATACCTGCGAAGTGACAAACATGGCCCACCATCCCAACCATAATGAGAAATGAGACCCAAACCCAGAGCGGCACGTCCCCCAAGGGCCCCCGCCAAGCGCCCCCCCCACCTCCCTCACCCCCCACAACACCACCCAAGGCTCAGTCAACAAGGAACAAAGTCGAGCAGGCCATGGGCGAGATGTGCCACAACTTGTACACGCCTCCCACACCACACTCACCACCTCCGTGACCACTACACAGACCCCCAACTAGGAGAAGGAGTCACCCGCCCAACTGGTAACTGGCCAGATTGATAAGCCCAGTTTACGTTCAACCCACCCCAGGGTCCCGCCACCGCGAGCTGTTGCGTCCACACGGGCCGGGCCCAACTAACCGATCCCCCCAACACACCCGGGACCTACATACCCGCCCACAAGTACCCCAAGGGTGCACCCTCCACCCGACCATGGCGGACACCCAACCGCGACCAAGGGGTGACGAACGCACCCACCTCTTGGGGACAAAACAGCCCCCAACCCCTTCACCCAACCCTAAACACAAGGTCAGATACAATACCATGGCGCCACCAAACCTACAGATACGCCTCACCTTCCTCAACGTAAAAGGGATAAATACACCGGGTAAACAACATGGGATACTCCGTTGGGCCAACCCATTTCACAGACCGCAGGCACTTCCCACTCATCAATAGACACTTTAAAAGATAATACTTGGCTAACTCCCTGGAACCAAAAACAAAAGGAGTAGCCATCTTCTTACGCAACTCCTGCCCCTTAGAAGACATCCACACTATCAGAGACCTATCGGGATGGTTTCTTTTCCTCACAGAACACGTGGGATCTACTCCACTAACTGTATGCTCCATATACGCCCCAAACACCGCAGATGCCACGTTCTGGGAGTCCTTCCGAACCCATTTAGCCAGTCTATCAGCTAAATACCTAATCGTTGGAGGTGACTTTAATGCAAAACAATCCCCAGCCACGGATCGCAGAACATACGCAGACAGATAACGGATCCCAACCAGAAACAAACTCTACACTAACTTCATCAAGGGAACAGCCCTACTAGACGCCTGGAGAATACATCACCCATCGTCCAAGAACTACACCTTCTACTGCCACACACACCAGTCATACTCTAGGATTGACAGCTTCCTCATATCACAGGTCATCCAACCCTGGGCTACACAAACAACCATTGGCAATATAGCATGGTCCGACCATGCGGAGATCATGCTGACCATACAAATTTCTCAACTATCACGCTCATAGCGCTGATGCCTCAACCCATGGATACTACGAGACAAAGCCACCGAAGATGTCAAAACCTACTTCGAAATAAACACCACGGATGATGTGGCCCCGACGATAGTGTGGGCCGCCCACAAAGCAATGATCCGAGGCAAACTGATAGCAATAGCCACAGCGCTCAAACATCAACGCTTGAAAGATTTAATAAACGCACTGGCGGAACTGACAAGACTGGAAACACTCCACAAACAGAACCCGTCGGACCAGCTCCTGGCTCAGCTCACATCCACACGGGAACTAATCAAACAGCTCTCAAGAGTGAACGTAGCGAGAAACCTCATGTGGACCAAACAAAGTTTCTACGAGAAGGGAAATAAAGCTGACTCCCTCCTTGCACACTGCCTCAAGAAACGACAAGACATCAAGAGGATATCGAAGATCCAGAGAAATAACGAACAGACCGGACCAAATAGCCAATGAATTCGTACACTACTACACAAACCTGTAAAACCACGCCACCCCTCCACCCACAAATGCTACCGGACACTTGCATTTCCTGGAACCCCTCGGACTGCCATCCCTATCAGCCAAGGCCAAAGCCCTACTAGAAGCACCCATCAAAGCCGACAAACTCTCCCTAGTCCTCAAAACGCTAAAGCCCCTGAAGAGTCCGTGACCGGACGGTTTCACAGCACTGTACTATAAAACGTTCCAGGCGACGCTCATCCAACTACTCCCCCATGCTCGCGGCTGATGTGTGTCTCCTGCCCAAACCGGGAAAAGAGCACTTAGACCCGGGACACTACTGCCCAATCTCGCTTCTAAATACGGACTTAAAAATACTCACGAAAGCACCAACCGCCTCAACATCTACCTGCCCAAAATGATCCACCCAGACCCATTCGGATTTATCCCTAAAAGGCAATACAAGGAGAGCCTACAACACAATCTGGTACACCCTCAGCTGAAACATCCCTTCGGTAATGCTATCATTGGACGTGGAGAAGGCATTCGACCGCCTTCTCTGGCACTACCTGTTCAGAGTGCTCGAACACCAAGGATTCCCGGCTGGATTCATAAACATCCTCACTGCGATCTACAACCACCCCACAGGACAGCTCCTACTCCCAAACACCGAGGCCCAGACGTTCATCATTGTGAACGGGACCAGACAGGGCTGTCCCCTCTCCTCTCTTCTGTTCGCGATCTCACTGGAACCACTCCTGCGGCCATCCGCAACCACCCTGACATACAGGGAATCCAGATTCGTCGGGAGACATACACAGTCGCGGCATATGCGGACTATGTCCTCCTGACCCTGATGGACCCCATACACTTCCTACAAGCCACAACCAACCTAATAGCCAAATACTCCACCATCTCGGGCTACAAAATCAACTTGTCAAAATCCACCTTGATGCCACTGGCAATGAAACACACCCAAATAAACCTCCTACGGCAACTGTACCCCTTTCGCATTACCACAACCTGTCTCACATACCTGGGCATCAAACTAGCCCCCAAACTTGGAGACATCTACGAAATAAACTATAAACCACTACTCACCACAGCACACCTTGACCTACAAAGGTGGGACAAACTGGGCGTGTCATGGCTGGGTAGAATTACTACCATCAAAATGAACTTGTTGCCGAGGTTCCTCTACCTCTTCCAGACACTGCCAATCCCAATACAGAAAACAGACTTCAAACACCTACAAGCAGCCATAGACAGATTTGTCTGGAAATCACGGAAACCCAGAGTCCGCAGATCGACGATGTATGTCCCCAAACCAATGGGAGGGCTAGGACTACCTAATTTTACCAATATTACAATGCAGCACAACTGGCCCACATCCAGCAATGGCACGCACCACTGGGCACCAAGAGGTGGGTGGACTTGGAACACGATGTCATGGGATGGGAAAACCCAATCTCCTACATGTGGGTACCTCCCAAACACAGGCCTCTACCAAAGCCCATCTCCCCAGCCATCACCCACACAAACTCAGTCCCAGATACGAGCTGTCCTCCTTCCTTTCCCTGGTAACACTGATATACTGCAACAAAATCTTCCCACCGGGCATGACGGCAAAACATTTCTTCGCATTCGACCAGAGAGACATCTCCAGACTCCTGCACCTATACAGACAGGGGTAAATATTAAAATACCCCGACCTCCCAAACTCAGATGCCCTGACCACAGCAGACTACTTCCGCTACATCCAACTGCGAGACCTAGCACAACAACCAGTAGTCAAACAGGCAGGAACGTCACCACCAACACCATTCAAGAAACAGTACTTTGACGCGCCGCTCCGTTGGGGAGAAATCTCAGATATCTACACCACACTCACATCGCACACCTCCCAGGTTAACCTCACCTATATCGCAGTAAGGGAATAAGACATCGGACCACCAGAGGATCCAAGCGACTGGGCCGAGATATAAGCAGCAACAAACTCCCTCACAACATGCGTGACGCATAAAGAACAGGCCTACAAAACCATCTTCCGCTGGTACCTGACACCACACAGACTACACAAAATGGGCCAAAAACCCAGTAACCATTGCTGGAAACTGTGTGGAGAAACAGGCACGTACCTCCACTGTTGGTGGACATGCCCCAAACTCAAACAGCTTTGGACCAAAATACAGGAACTCATCGAACAGGTGATCAAAAAACCCATCACAGCACAGCCATGGACAATGCTACTCACCAAACCACTGGATACCCTCACGGGACATGAAAACAAACTAGTGGCCCACATAACCCTAGCAACACGTAGAGCAATTGCAGAACTGTGGGCAGACCAACGGACCCCTGAACTAACGACCATCATCCGCAAGATCAAGGAAACACGCAACCTAGATGAACTGACAGCACAGATACACGACACGTCCAAAGCGTTTCACTGGACATGGGAACTCTAGGATGCAAGTTACCCGAACCTGTTCACAACAACCCCAGCGACGCGACCAGACCCACTTAAGACATCACCTTGAGAACTCACCACCCCCACCCCCGTTTCAGGACGGGGGAACCATAGCCCGGACTGCTCCTCAAACCCCTACACCACGACCGGACAAATGACCGAAGAACCCACAATGAAGTGCCAAACGAGAATCCTGACCGCCTACGACCACAAATAGCACAGCCCATCTGAACCCAAAGGCACACAACTGCCAGTGGCGTACACACAATCAATGGACCCTGGTGCAAAACTGATCCATGGGCCCTCCTGACACACACACATACACATACAGACACATACACACAAGACACACATACATACAGACAGGCACACATACATACATACAGACATACAGACAGGCACACATACATACAGACAGACACATACATAAAGACTGACACAGACACACAAACATACACACAGACACACACATACACACAAAGACCCATACATACAAACAGACAGGCACACATACACACAGACAGGCACATACAGACACATACATACAGACATACACACACAAACAAACACACATAAACAAAATGTTTAAGTCACCCTTCTGTTTCCTACCCTGGGGTCCAGTGGTGGCTCCGGTTGATGGGAGTCAGAGTTCCCACTCTGACTCCCTCCTCTGCTTCCTCCTGCGTGGCTCTGAGTATGCTGGGAGGAGTGACCGGGGCAGTCACTTCCTCCCAGCGTGTGATGTCATCACAGGGAGCCTGGTCGCTGTTGGACGGTGGCCCCGGCGGTTTGCCACGCGGGCCGGGGCTGCAAAGCATGGTGGCGGGCAGCCGGTCGCAGGGGTCCGCCAGGCCCCCTGGAGTGACGTGCCTGGTTGCAGCTGCGAACCCTGTGACCCCTATATGTACGCCACTGCCAACTGCATACTTATGCTCACTTCAATACTTGGTATTACCACTTCATTCAAATGCAGCAAGTTAGAAAAACTGCTTAATTCAATATAACTGGCCGAAATTACTGTTTAGTAAAGCTTATTCCCACTTGATTTAGTACAGCAAGTTGGTGTTACCGCATATCTGCATTCCTGGGCATTGCTCAAATGTTCCCAGCTTCACAGCTCCACTCCCCTGTCCACGCTGTCACCATTCACTGCCAGGGACCGTCACAGGCTGAGTGCGCCCCTTGAGATAGTGTGAACGCGATAAAAAGTAGGCTGGTTTCTGCTTGCTGCCCTCAGGAATTCACAATCATAGCTAAGGGTTGAGAAAATAGATATGTAGCAGGTCTACCCTTTTATGAAAGGATATGGCATGGAAGGCAATTTTGATGTTGGCTACTTCGATGTTCTCACAGTTTTCTGTCAGTCACCCAGCGTTTAAACCTCCACGCGGTATCGAGAGATTCCCTACTCCAGACCATAACCTTGTAGGGACGGTAGAATATGTGCACTCATGTCACGTCATCCCTGCCCTCTGCAACATAATGTACTTGACATGCTTTTAATTTTCCCAGGGTTAGAGTTTTTATTTATTTACTTATTTATTTTTAAAACTGGATGGGTTAAAACACTATCCATTTAAATCTACACTGAAAATGTCACTCATAATCAAAGGCAATTACAGTGCTTAAATTAAGCTGTAAATACTTCAATAAATAATTGGCCTTCTCTTTATCTTATATTTACTTAACATCTGAATGCACTTTCAATAAGTATACTTTCCATTAAAGAAAATGTATACAGAAATAAATTATTATTAAAAAACGTGGACGGGAAGGGATTTTATTAAACTGATCATTCACAAACATTAATGGAAAGTATTTAACATTGCTTCAGGAAATGCTCAATGTGAACATTTAAACCATGCCATTACAACATATTTTATATTAAAATGTTTATTTACTTCAAAAATAAAATTTTAAATCCACATAATTTGCCTGTAGCTAAGTCTCCTATTTAAGTGTAAGAAAAACTATGAATTTATTATAGACAGAGTAACTCAAACTGTCTTAAAAATGACTGCTAGTGTTACACATAGCTACACATATAGCTCTGCACCTTGAAAAGTGTTACTATAATTTTTGGGGTATCCTTTTCATTTTTAAAGGAGCGCTGATGGCTGGTGTTTATCCAATTTTGAAATGCAAAAAAAAAAGTTAAATCAAACAATCAAAAAAAAAAAAATCTCTGTCTGTCTGTCTGCCTATTTGTCTGTTTGTCTATCTATCAATCAATCAATCAATCAATCAATCATATTTTTAGTTACTTCTTTTTAGACTTATGAATGAGGAAAAAATAAATAAAAACTCTGTTTTGTCCAAATCAAAAAATGAATTAGGCCGGGCAAAATTTAGTCCATGCTGCATCAGAATTTTGACTCATCAGTATCTTGTTACCGAAGAAAAAAAATTGGGGAAAGAAATTGTTCTGACCAAAAAAGAAGGAAAAATGGCACCTACTACTGTGCTGACATTAAAACCAACTAAAATATTGCCTACATACTGAGCCTAATGGCTAGACAATTCTGAGTTGGCAAAATTAGACCCA